CTATTGTATACTTATAAGTTATAAATGAAGTTTTTAAAAACTATTTTCCACAACTGGAGAACATACTTTGCGTAGTCGGTAGGGTTGGACAAGGCAGAACTGAAGCATAATCGCTGTTCCTGACAGTTGGTTTCAACCATTCATCTCCAATCAAGAACATAACAAATCACAGGACCAAGAAGGCACTCTTGGGTAAGTGTTGAGTTTCCTGACTTTTCCTTACTATAGTGATTGACATATTTGAGTACTTTTTGCATCATATCGATTTTCGTATTTTGTTAGCAATACTTTGTGAAATTATTCAAAACGGAAGGATTATCTAATCTTTTAGAAAACATGTGTATCAATCCCACCTCAAACTCCAACAACTTAGGCCGCGAAAGCTATCGAAGGCTTTCTATCCACAATCTCAGAGGATACTTCTCAATTGGGAAGTGCGATAACTTTTTCAATAATTATGGTCATATAAACGATAATAATCTAAATGGTTTCACTTTTAATGTAATCTGTTTGAAGTTGAAAGATGACGTTTGTAACTTTCTTATGTGCAGACCTGACTTGACTTCATGGCCTTTACTCCATATTGCTCGGAGAGAACCATAGAGAAATTAAAAAGGAGAGTGTGTCAAAACAATGGTAACGTCAGGCGCCTCAAACAGTAGCGACACCCTTGGCGGGTGGCTAAACTAAAAGTGAGCGTTTAATTTAAAACCACAGTCGTATGTTTTTTATTTTAATATTTATCATGATTGTGCAGCAAAAATTCACAATATATTGTGGAATTTTTGCTGCTTTTGTTTTTATTTTGAATACATATTTCCGAATTTCTCTGAAAGAATTCTTAATAAATCAATTACTAACATGGTTGAAATTTATGAAAGTTATACCTTCTCAATCATATTGTATGTTTTTGAGTATTTTCAGAACATGGGGATTATGACTGGGAGTCTTCAAATAAGATAACAACTGGTACTTCTCAAAATATTTTTATTTAAATAATTCCTATATAACACACATTTATATACCCCAAAACATACTACCTGGTTTCTACTATTTTTGTTTTCGTATATTATCATTTAAATATTTTCTGATAATAAATGGA